GCTCTTGTGACAACTGTGCAACAGGGGTGAGTTCTGCTTGCCAAGTGTGGAAAGCTGATGACAAGTTTAGGAAGAATTAAGGAACAGGATGTCCCTTTTCTGTGTTCTCCTATCCACCCATACACTCTTAGTGCAGCTGAATAGATCTTTCTAAGTGTGAGTGATGTTGCTATAACACTGTCACGTTAATGTGTTCATAGAGGTACCAGTAAATCACAAACAAGACGGTATGCTATTGCTCGTGAGTGCTGTCATAAACTCGGTGCTGGGCTGTGCTCAGATTTATTGGGTTTTATAATCCCTTCCTTGTCTGGAAGTGCCAGTACAAGATCTATATTTAATGAACAGTTTGTGACAAACATGTAGCTAGGCAAAACACATTTAAAAAAAATAAAAAAAAGAGAGAATGGCATTGCTTTGTTGGGAGAGCCTTGAAAGAGAATCTTAGTAGTGCTGCTCTTTGTCGGAGGGTTGGTGTGGTGGACTGAAGCATAATTTTGAGTATTGAAAATATTGCTTCTGTTCTAATCCCCTAGTAATGCTTTAATATCAAGCAGCAATGCCAGCTTCTGAGCTCAGAGTTCAAAAGCTACTGATCTACTTGAAAACACATGGCAGATACTTGAAATCCCCATCAGCTGTTAGAAATACCTATCCAGGCTGCTGAATGGGGGAGAGGCAGAGTTTTTTCTTTTTTGATTATGTTTGCATTGTTTTACCTTTTCATAACATCTGTCTTGGGCAGTATCTTGATATGTAGAAGACACACAGTCAAACTATAAGTAACCTTGCCGTTTATTCCCCTGAATATCTGCCAGGGATAAACAGGGGGAGTAGGAGCCCGGGGTAAACAGAGGCTAAAAGGGCAGGGTTTTGAGTGACAGAAGTCTCAGAATTTCGTAGTTTAATGAAAGTTTTAGATGTTTTAAAGAAACTCCCTTAATCTGCCTTATTTCCCCACAACTTTTTCAATATTATTGTGAAATATTGTTGAAAGGAAGTAGAATTATTGTGATTTGTGCAGTTGGAATGGAATATGGCCCTTGTCTTTTTACTTTTTTTTTTCTAGCTTAACATTAGCTAAGCAAGTCTCCCTGCTGTCCTTCCTGTCTGTGTGAAGACTGTCCATGTACATGTGGGGGTTGCAAGTTCAGTCTCTGACATGCTCAGAAAACGCGTGGATAAATGTGCTACCGCAGTGGGGGCGGGAGGCTCAGTGCACCACGGCAGCTGGAAAAACCCACTAGCTGCCTAGCGCTTGGGAAAAGCGTCTTTCTGCTGCAATCTCCTCTGTTTGGGAGATCTGCAGCAGATGAGGTGCCTCTGGCTCCCTTGGCTCGTTTGTGTCTTTCGATGTTCGAATGAACTCGCAGTTCTCCAAAGACCTCCCGCCGAGTTTCTTTCCTGCTGTCACATTTTTGTGCTCTGAGGTTACGTAATACAGGAGCCAGGCCTGTGTTAGAGGCGGTTCCCACGTTTCTTGCTCCGTTCTCCTCAGGGAGCAGCTTTGGGCAGCGGGGAGGCCGTAGGAAGCAGCAGTGTGTGGTTTTGTGTGGGCCGCGTTCTGGGGCTTTGCAGAGCTGTCCTGCTGTCTCCCTGCCAAACCCACCTGCTCTGGGGCTTAACAGCAGGAAACCTGGACAAGTGCCTTCTGTAGGACAGAGGTGATGAGATGTATTTGCAGTCACCTAATATTCCCTAGGATGAGAAAAATTATTTAAGAAATGGCCTTCTTGGAGTTTAGGCGTTAAAAGCCATCGATGATCCACTTGCTCTTTCTGTCTCATTCAGGATTGAAAAGGCTTTTTTATGCTGCAGCCGTGTATCTTGTCACCAAAAAAAAAAAAAACCACTTGTACTGTGATGAAGTTCTACGGGCAAGATCATGGGCAGATGAGGAAATTAGTTAAATTTAACACTGATTTGGTATAGGTACAAGGACACCCAAGCAATGATCTAGTCTTGGTCATAATTCAGAGATCAGAGAGGTGGTTAACACATGCTTTGAAATTTAAAAAAATAAAGTAAACCCTCCGTCTTCGAGGTGCTTTGGTATGAATGCCCACATGTTGCCCAAAACCTGGCAGATGAGCTCTGGCTCTTTGTGGTCCGACAAACTCATCAGCAGTGTAAGTGTCTGGGGCAGAGGCTGGGGCATGTGGACTGCATAGAGCACTGCCATATTCTGCCAAACTGACGGCTCTTTTCTTTGTTTTAGATGAAGGACCTAGCTTGTACTTCTGACTCCCATGTGCATGTAAGTTTGTGGACTCGATATCTAGCATACACGCATCAGTTTTATTTCTGACCAAAACTGTGTGGGGTCGAAGAAAAAGGAGAGCTGAGTGCCTGTCTTGCAGAAAGGAATGTGCAAATGAGTCATCCCACAGCACCCTTAATGCCAGTATTGTGGAGGCAGCAGGTGGAGATGAGGGGAAAAAGCCTGCTGGAAAACTGCAGTCTGTGATCTAACCTCATCCCACTAAAAAGTTTTCCTAATTTAGCCTTGATTAGTTCATCTGAAAGGCTACAGAGAGGAAGCAAGTCAGAATTGTTGTGGGTTTGGTCATGGATTAGACATGTGGGTTTGTACTGCGTTTGGCTTTGGGAGGCTGTTTGGCTGAAGAGCTGCAGACCTAAATTACTGCAAATCAGAGTGAGCGCTGTACCAAATCCTGGTGTAAAAAACAGTCATTTCCTGTTCATTAGTATGTTTTTTCTGGTAGCCAAATCTGGTAACAAGATAAACATTAGACACAGTGTTGAGAGCTAGGAGAAATAGGGTTGGCCCTAACACTGTGCATACCAGGAGCTGTTTAATTTTTTTGCTTTTATTTTCATGATAAAAATGTGGCTTCTTTTCCTGCATGATCTGGTGAACCACTGTGGGGAGAACAAGCTTGCAAGATGCGAATGAGGAATTGGGACTCTCTGGTTCAGCTCTAGGATCCATCCCCAGCCTTAATGCATTCCTAAAGGGCCTCAGGTTTAATGGAATTTCTCTGCAGAACCACTAGTAAGAACTGGGTGCCTCCAAGGGGGAGATTTTGTCTGTGCAAGATCTGCATCATGCTGTGGAGCTGCCTAGTCTGCTTTTTGACCACAAAAGTTGTGGTGCGTTTAGACACCTCAGCAAGCTGCCTAAGGATAAATGCTGGGAATCTGGATCTATTGTGCGTCTGTTTTCCTGCTGGGAAAATGTGAGTCCATTCCCTTCTCCCGGGAACTCCTGGGAGAGCACAGAGCTCTGCCCAAGTGCAGTATCGCTGCCCTTATGCAGCGTGAGAGCTAAGAGTGCCTGTTCTGAAGCTCAGTGCTCATGCTTGATTCATGGAGCGTTACCTGTAGTGCAGAGGCGCTGATTAGTATGTAATTTTTAAGTTTATATCATCCAGTCTGAAATTGACTGGGACATAATGTCTTGACATCTCTGGTTACCACCCAGTCGATCTGAGAAACACGGCGAGGCAGTATGGAGCCCTGAGAGACGTCCTGCTTGTCAAAGTGACAAATTGCCTTTTCTGGTTCAAAGGACCGCCTGGCATGGCAGGGCTGAGGGAGAAAGGGGAGGAGAGCATGGGAAAAATGCTGTATTTGTTTAGGCCTTGCCCAGTATTCCTTGTTGTTTGTTGCTCTGCGTTGAGGATCTTTGTCTTCCTTAGTCTAAAACAACTTTAGAGCAGGTTAAGAGGAGCAAAGCCCCTGGGGCTCTGCCTCTCCCACTTCTGGTTCTTATAAACTGTTTACAATCTCCTCCAGTTTTTGAGCTTTGTATGGAAAAGTTCAGTGGGTCAGCTTTCCCTTCAGCTTCATCCATCATTCCAGTCAATTAGAAATAGTTGAGGGCCAATTGCCCGGTCTTCCATTAACTGAGACACTTCAGATTGTTTAAAATAGCATAAAAGGCTCTTTGTTGACCGTTGGGCAGGCCTGTGTGTGGATGGGCAGTTACCGCGTGGCTGAACAGGACCCCAGTGTCTCGCGGTGCTCGAGGGGTGAATGTTGCTGCCCCGGGCCTCGTCTGCGCTCGCGTTGCCTCTCCCTGCCTCCCGCTGGCCCGGGAAGGTGCGATGCCTTCAGATGCCGAATTCCCACTCGCCGGCTCGTGAAAGAAGCGGCGCTTTGTGGCTTTTCTAAACTTCTCGAGCTGAGGTTTCTTTGGTTGCTGAAAAGTTCTGTTTTTACCTCAGGACGTTTAATGCTCTTGACATTACTTGTTGCTCACTTGTGTTTCTGGAGGACAGAGGAAGTGTGTAAGTGTTTGGGGAGCAGTGGGCACGTTGTGCTGGGCGCTGGGTTGGTGCTGCCTTTCGCAGAGGGACGTTTTCCTTGTGTTTAGAACTGCCTAGGCAGAGCGGAGAGCTTGGCGTGAGCTCCAGCAGAGTAATCTGAAGAGCTCTCACTGGAGCTTGTTGTAGGGTTATGTGTTTGGGTTCACGTTGGAGAGCTGAATCCCTGCATAGTGCCTTTTTGTTTAGTGTTTATTTTTGTTTCACATGAGAGATTTCACTGGAAGAGTAACCTTGCTAAGAGGATATCAGCTAATTTGTAGGAAAGTAGATATTTGTTTTCGCGTCTTGGAAATCCTTGTGCATCTTGCAAGCTCCCTGCC